CCCTGATCCCTGAGCCACTCAGATCTTTCACAGACTCCAGAATTCAGTCGTTCACCTCCAGATTCTGGCAGCTGAGGTCCAGCCCCTCTCCAGGTAGTCTACTAGACAGGATCTACGATGTCCACACTCTTTTTCATGCATGTGGCCACATCTAATCCATATATACAGACACACGAAAAGCCCTGACATGATTTTGCCAAACCTGAGGAAGCAGGCCAGCTCCAAACACAGCTGATGTTCAGTCAGCCACAGGCTCTGTCTATGTCTAGAGATCAAGTCAGACATTGGCCTATGGTGTTCCAAACGGATGGCACACTACTACATTCTCCACTGGTCCCTGCTGAATCTCCTGGAGCTGAAACTAAACCTGAGAAGGGGCAAGTAGACCCACATCCTTCTCGTTCTTCTTGAGACAACAACAAGTATGCACTCAAAGAAATATTTTATATCCAGTTCTTAGTATTTGCTTTACAGATCTTCCCCTCATTCATGTGTAATTTTGCATACTTTCCTACCTATTTTATTGTAATAAAATTCACATAATATAAAACATACTGTTTTAAGAATATGGTTCAGTGGAATTGAAAGTATTAATTATATTGTGCCACAATCATAGGAGTCATGCAGTACTTATCTTTTGGTGACGATAGTTAGAAAATGGCCTTCAGAGCCACCCATGTTGTGGCACATATTAGAATCTCTTTTCTTTTTAAAGCTGAATAATATTCCTTTGTCTGCATATATTTTGTTTATTCATTCATCCATTCACAGAGTCTTGACTTGCTTCCAATTTTTGGCTATTGTAATAGTGCTGCTATAAACATGAGAATACAAAGATCTCAGTTTTATGGGAGTATATACCCATATATCCATCAATGGAATTTCTGGTCAAAATAATCCTATTTTAATTTTTTGAGAAACTCCCATACTGTATTCAATAGTGACTTTACCATTTTACATTCCTATCACTGATACACACGGGTTCCAATCGCCACATTCCTTACCAACACTAATTTCTTTTTTTTTTTTTTAATAACCAATCTATTGTGTGTCAAGTGGTATTACATTTGTGGCTTTGATATTTATTTCCCTAATGATTAGTGATGTTAAATATCTTTTCATATGCTTACTGGCTACTCATGTAACTTCTTTGGAGAATTGTCTATTCATGTCCTTTTCCCATTTTAGAATACACTTGTTTCTTTGCTTGAGTTGATTTAGCAGAATTCTTTATATATTCTGGAGAGTAATCCCCTATTAGTTATATGATTTACAATATATTCTCTGGGTTTCCTTTTCCTTCTATTGCTAGTGTCTTTGATGCATAGATGGCTTTAGTTTTGATGAAGTCCAATTTATCTATTTTTTCTTTTGTTACTGTGTTTTTGGTGTCATCATAGCAAATCCAATGTCATGAAGGTTTTCATCTATGTTTTCTTCTGCTCAGAGTTTTATCTTACTCTTCCACTTAGGTTTTCTATCCATTTTGAGCTACTTTTTGTATATGGTTGGAAAGAAGGTTATAACTTCTTTCTTTTGTGTGTGGATATCCAGTTTTCCCAACACCATTTGTTGAAGATTGTCCTTTCTGCATTGAACACTCTTGACACCTTTGTCAAAAATCACTTTACCATACATGTAAGGGTTTCATTCTGGATTCTCTATTCTATTCCACTGGCTTACAAGGCCATCTTATGCTAATACTACATAGTACTGATCACTGCAGCTTGCAGTAAGCTTTCAAATCAGGAAATATGAAACCTCCAACTTTGTTTTTCTTAGTTGTATCATACAGTGTGCCTTGGTAGAAACTTGCATGTTATCAACCTGATTTACTTCTGTAATTTTCTAAATAGTTCAAACCAGCCCTCTCCTCATAAAGCATTCCCAATAACCCCAGTTGGGCTTCGCTGCTCCTTCCTCTGAGCAATCCAGCTAAGAGGGACAAGGAGTGCTTTGTGCTGAATGCACCTGTCCTGTATGGCTGTGACTTGCCCACCAGATTGTGAATGATCACAGACGTGCTTCCATTTCAGTACCTGAAAGATGGCCATTTAGTGAAAAGTGACAACATGAGTATGCCCTTCACAGTTGGTTCTCTGAGGTGATTTTTCTGGCTAACTGAGGCCTCATTCTCGAAGGCCAATAGCTGCCTATAGTGTTTAGCCATTTTGAATGAGACTCTCCTGCCTGGATTTCATAATTTATGCTTTCCAAACAGAAGATGTATACTGATGTTAGTCATGTTTCCTTGGTGCCTCTGAGCTACCTTTGCATATGAACTCCTGGCTGCTATTCAAGAACGCCCTAGGCTAAACTGACCTGTCCTATGTTATAGGTCTGTTTGCCCCAATTAGGCCATCTTTTGCTTTTCGGCTTTCCTTAGTTTTAACGACATCCTGCACCATCAGCCCATCAGCTGTGATCTTGATCTCACTCTTGCCTGCCTGTCTCCTCTGGCTAATTTGTTTTCTAAGTTGTGAGTGGAGATGCATATAACAAGGATCTGGGCAAAGTAAAATTAAACAACCATGTATAGAGTGCTATGGGCTCACTGAAGGTGAGAATGCTGGACTTGTGTGTGGACTTCAGAGTCTCTACTGTGGCTGTTTCAAGCTTTTGTGCTCCCTCTGATACTCAGGGCTCTGAGTTGCTGAGTCCCCTGGTGAGCTGCCAAGGGTATTTTAGATACACTGCAAGAGTGCCTTCCATGTGCCCAAACTTGCTGCTTTAAGATTAGGCAGAATGTGCAGGGGTTAGAATTCAGCCTGAATTATCTGTGAGAAGGTGACTGGGAAACAGGGCATATAGATAGCAGAACCCATAGAACTGAGTGGGTCCTTCCTGAAGAGGAAGGGCAGGACTCAGCTGTTTTTCCCCAGCTATACTCTTCTGCCCTTCTCTGGAAGAGTGACCCTGAGGGCCTCGGCTGTGGCATTTTCAGTGGTCTGAGTTCATAATTGGCTTTATCCCCTCCATGATTGACATTGAAGAAGCTACCATACAGCTCATCCCCAGGGACTGCAAAACTGACCATCTAAGCCTCTTGGTTCTTCACATGTTATGATGTAACTAACACTGGCCACATTGCCCCTGTCCTTCTCATTTATCTGATGAACTCTTACTCTTCTTTAAATATCTGTGAAGGACACTGCCTTTGCAAGCTCTCTCTCGTCCCCTGTGGCATCTAATGGAATGGATGGAAGATCTTTCTGGGTCCTGGTCCAGCCAGAGACTACCCTGCCCTTCCTCTCAGATCAGTGTTCTACTTGTGTTATGGATGAGTGAGTTTGAAAATACAGATGCACCACACTCTGTGCCAGATCTCAGCCTGTTTATTATAGCTGGCTAGTGCCCAGAAAGTTTCCTTGGCAATGGGAAGCCATTTGATTTCTCCTTTTAAATCACGCTTTCAGTTGAGGAGGGCTCAAGGGAGAGCAAATGGAATCTTACAGAAGCAGAACCAGGCCAGGTTAGTGGGGGGCTCAAGGAAGCTTCACACGCTAGGTGAGCTACAAAACATCCTGCAACTGCAGAAAGTTTACTGCCAATCAGGATGTAGGGGTTTTGGGTGCTCTGTTCAAAATGGCACTGAGGCACAAGATGGAGTCGAGTTGGTTATCGCACTTGCATGGCCTGTGCTTGATGTTCTGGGCTAGGAAATCAGGGAAGAGGAGGTCCAGGACTCTGCCTCTCATGTCCCTTATCTCAAAAAGGAAGGAAAAAGCATCTGCCCCATATCCCACATCCCTCTTCCCACATCCAGCCATGGGCTTCTCGTAGGATGCTGTGGATGGAGGTGCAGGGTCAGTGGAACCCCTTCATCGCTCCAGCCAAGGCCCTGGCCTATGTGGGCGGAGAAGCCTGTACACTGACAGTCAGAAGGCTGAAATGTCCCAAGTGCAACAGTTTCAGGAGAACTAAGTGAAGAAGCATGCCTCGTGCCAGGTGTCTGGGCTCCTCGGCTAGATGGTGCTGGTGTTGGTTTCTCTGTGCCCACCTCGAGAGCCTGTCGTAACTCAGGGTTTTCAAAGATCTCAGAAGCCAGCTGAACCTCACTGGTGCTGTGAGCTAGGAAAGACATTGATGAGGACACCTGGTCGTAGAGATATTCAGCAACTTGCCCAAGGTCATCTGCAGTTTGGTGAGGGATGCAGCTGGGAATAGAAGCCAGACTGCCTGAGCCCTGGGAGATGGTCTTACCTTAGCCCATGGATTTCTGCCCTTTTCCGGGAAGGCCTCCTGACTCCACCTCTTTCATCTGTCACAGAATGGGGGAGGAAGTGCAGACTGAACATCAGAAGAGGTGACCTCTGGCCCCGCCTTGTCACATATGATCCTGCCTCTTCCTTGGAATAAACTTTTCTCTCTTTCTGGGCCTTGTTTTTCTACATTGTAAAAAGGGAACATGGCACCAGAAGGGGAGAGGTGGGAGTGTACAAGGTGATGGCTGCTTAGTAAGGGTATTATTGACATCGTCTTTTCTTCTCTTCCTCTGTCTCCTTCTCACTGGTTAAAGAAAAATTGCATTGAACAGATGATTAAGAAACCCTAACTCCGCCCCAGCTCCACCTGTACTTTCCTGGACCTCACTTTCCCTTTCACACAGCAGGAGCCTGAACACTGTGATTTCTGAAGTCCTCCCCAGCTCTGGGGGTTGCAGCACAGGTCTTCTTTCCTTTTCCTCTTCTTCCTCTTGCTCCTGCATTTCTGAGGTAGGTGGGAAGGAGATGTGTTGCATGTGCGTATACGTGCGTGCATGCATTTTGTCTGTGGACACTTGTGTTGCAGGTGAGTGTGTGTGTGTATGAGAGTGTATGTGAGTGCACTCATGTGTGTATGAGGGAGTCCCACCGCTGGTGGGATGGTGGTGAGGAGAAAAGTGGGCAGGACACTGCCATGTGCCAGCAGGGCTCTGAGCTCCCTCAGAGGCTCACGGTGCATGGTACTGTTTAATCATTAAAGGAAAAGAATGAAGCCAGGAGAACCTCAAAGTCCAGCCTGATAGGGACCGACAGCAACAGATGAGCAAGGAGCTGGCGGCAATGGGGCCTGGAGCTTCAGTGGACGAGATGAAGACAGGGAATTCTCTGCGTTCAGCCCTGGGCTCTGAAGTCAGCCTGCACACCTACGACGTCTTGGTGGTGGTCATCTACTTTGTCTTCGTCATCGCGGTGGGGATCTGGGTGAGCAGGGCCTGGAGCCAGGTCTGGAGAGTAGGGCAAGCAGAAGCAGCCTCTCATCTGGAGCTGAGGGCAGGAGTGGGAAAAAGAAACATCACACAGCTGAAAGAGCAGAAGGGATAAAAGCTTCAGAAATCACCCCCCACACACACACACACACACTCTCTCTCTCTTCTTTCCACGGGAAGGCAGACTGACACTCAAAAAGGTTGTGGCTTGTCCGAGGTAACAAAGCAAGGAGCCCCAGCTCCTGACCCCCTGTATCTATGCCTCCTCTGCTTCTGGCCCCAGCCATCCCTGAGCCCTACTCCTGCCATCTCAAGACCCGCAACTTAGAAAAAAAAAAGCCTTGACCTCCCCCTAGTCTCCTTTGTGTCATGACCAGGAAGCTGGGGCTCTGCATGCTCCGGGAAGGAAGGGTGCCGGGCACATTCCAAGGCCCCACTGCTCTCCATGGTTCCCAGGAATCAGGGAGCTGAGCACAGGTCCCAAGTCCAGCAGTCAAAGTCTCTCTGGGTCTCATTTTCCCTTATGGGCAGGAAGAATAGGCTGAAACCGTGGAAAGGACGGGACCCATGTAAACACTTCCCTGGACCCTGGCACACAGGTGGTAGACAACAAACGGCTGCTATCTTCACTGGTGCTCTGCAGAGAGGCCAGCACCTTTTGACTGTGCAGGGCAGACTGTAACCTGACTCCTGAGCTGTAAGGAGGTCTGGATACCTCTCCGAGCCTCCAACCCCTCTTCCCGCCCTAAGAGGAAGTCACAATCCCCAGTTCCCAATGCTCCTGCAGGAAGAAGTGGACAGACAGTGCTCAGTGTCTCCTGGGAGGCAGCCTGGGTGAAAAAGGCCAACTCTGCTGTGAATTGGACAAGTCTCTCCCTGTCCCAGGGAATTTCCTAATCTGTGAAACATTGTGCTACTCCTGTGGTCTCTAAGAGGATGGGAGGTGAGCCAGGAGAGCTCAAGCACAAGCTTAACAAGCAGCAGATCCTGCAGGAGTTATCATTACCTAATTACTTTCTCCTTTTGCTTCCTCATACTCCAGGGATTCTCCTCTCTCAGAGCCAGGCAGACACCTATTACCTTCCCCACCAGGGTAACTGCCTCGAGTTCCCCCTTCCCTGGCCAGGGCCGGCCCTCATTCATGTCCAGAGAAATTTCTTGTGCTCCTCAAATCCTTCATTTTTTTAGAGCATAAACCTAACAGGCCACAGACTGGCCACCTAGTGGCTACTCTCAGGGTTCTGGACAGAGCTCAGTAGTGTAGTCTAACTTCAAGCTAGGCAAATAGCTCTCCTCATCTTGCCCAGAGCCCAGAGTCCCGTAGTCAGATTGGTCAGAATGGCTATCATCTGTGGTGTGGGACTCTGGCTGGAAGGGAGAGGCCAGATCAAGAGAGGCAGCCGCTGTGAACCTGAGGCCCAGATATCACATCCTCTCCCGAGAGCCAGTGTGAAGGAGAGGAGGGCAAGGCACACAAGCCACCATCTGGTACCCTTACCTAGCACTTCGCCATTCACAAAGACCTAGGACATCCTTACCTTCTTTGCTCTTTGCTTCAGCCTTGGGAGATGAATGTTGAGAGTCACAAAGATCAATTAACCTGTCAGTTAAAACTGGTGAGGCAGCCAGGGGACAGGATGCTCTGTCCTGCCTCCATTCTCACCCTCTTTGTCCCCGCAGTGCCTGTACCCAGGGACAGGAATTCTGGGGTGAAGGGCAGAGACTGCAGAGAAGCACAGGAGGTCCTCATCTTTTGCCATTTCCTTCCCAGTCATCAATCCGTGCGAGCCGAGGGACCATCGGTGGCTATTTCTTGGCGGGGAGGTCCATGAGCTGGTGGCCAGTGAGTATCCCCCACCCTGTCTTCCACATCCTCCTATCATCTTCTCTTGCCTAGGCCTTCAGCAGATGTCCTGACAGACTTGGCCAGGTTCCCGTGAGCCCCACACTGTGGTGTGCTGTTGCCGTCTTCGGGTGACCAGGCTGTGAGCTGTGCCTCCTGTACTTGAGACCTGATCCAGTCTGAGGCTGGGTGCAAGTCCAGCCCCAGTTTGTTTCTGTTTCTGTAACAAACGCCTGAGATGATCAACTCCACACTCAGTGCAGCGCTGCTGGAGCTGTGTGTCCAGGTGTCCTTCCAGTTCTGATTCTGTGCCCCAAGGAAAGTGTGTGCCCGCAAGGCTGTCAGCAAAAGGACAGCAGCCATCCCTGCTCAGAGAGGCCTGCAAGGTCCTCCTCATCTTACCTGCCCCATCCGTATCTCCTGACTTAGGAGTGGGGAGCCCTGGGCAGGGTAGTGGGCACGCCTTACTCCTAGGGAGCCTTCTTCTGTAGGGGGGCCCTGTGTTCTCTGTTCTGGCCTAGTGCTACAGACCACCTCTGCAAGAGTGCTTGGGCCACCTGAGAGAGTGAGTGTGTTAGTGCATGTCAGTATGTGCATGTGTGTGAGAGTGTACATATGTAGATGCGTGTGTGTGTGAATGTATGTGTAAGTGTATGTACCTGTATGGAATGTGTGTGAGCGCAGTTATGTGTACAAGTGCATGTGAAAGAGGGTATGTGTGTGTGTACGTACATGTGTGGGTGAGCATGTGTGTGTGGCTGCGCATGTAAACATGTATGTGAGTGTGCACGTACAAATGCGGGAGTGTGTGAATGTATACATGAGTGTGGGTTTCAATGTGCGTGTATGAGTACACATGTGCATAAGTGTGTGTGTGCATGTGTGCGTGTGCAACTGCATATGAGCAGCACGAGGGACTCAGCAAGGTGGGGTCACTCAGTCCCACACCATTGCCTGCTCTGTGGCCTCTTCTTTGACTTTCTCAGTCTTTCCCCTTCTTTCCAGTTCCCACGTCCCAACATCCCCAGGAGAATGAGAAGTTGGGAGACTGGGAGTCCCCAGACGTCACAGCTGGTGAGAATGAGGACTTGGGAGAGGAAATGATTCTATGGAGGGGATGCAGGGTACCCCCACAGCTGGAGCACAGCTCTTCCCTCTGCCCTGGCGCCTTCCCCAAGGTCTCCTCAGCTCCTCCCGGGCCTGAGTCCCCCTCTGCCCCTCCCCTCCCAACGGGGATCCCATCTAATAATAAGTGACAATGTGGAAGAAGTGCTTAGGAGGTGCCAAGCACTTTTGTGTAGTGGATGTGGGAGCCGGACAGCCAAGGTTTTCACCTTCATTTGGTCACTTCTGAAAGTTTTTTGTCTACGCTTCAGTTTCCTCATAAATACTACATATAGATAATTGCGTTAGTTTTCTGCTACTGTAACAAATTCCTAGGATGATCAACTTGTAAAGAGAAAAGCTTTCTTTCCACTCATGCCATAGCTAGGGAGTAAAGAAAGAAGAAGACTCCAGGTCCCATAATCCCCTTCACGGGCGTGCTCCCAAGGACTCAAACACAGCTATAGCAGTACTTATTATTGGGTTGTTGTGAGGATTAACTGAGTTTATGTATACAGTGCTGGACAGTACTGTGTAAGTCCTACCCTCTGTGATTATTGTCATTATAATTACCATCATCCTTCCCTTCCATCACCTTAGAAGAGTTGGCCTCCTTCTGGAGAAAAATAAACTCAACTCAGAGGCTGGCCTGGCCTGTGCACCACCTCTGATCCCTCCTCCTGCCCAGCCTTGCCCTGAAGCCTGCAGGAACAGGCCATGAAGGGCTTCCTGTGCAGCCCCGCCCACAGCCCCTCAGCGTCCTTCTCTCTGGAGGACCTGAGATTGATGTCCCTGTGCAGGGCTCTATTCTGCCTACCCAGACCTGCTGCTCCTGTCTTCTTTTCTGGCCTGCTTTGCCACTTCCTCACTGGGTGACCTGGAGCATGTGGCTTCATTTGTACTAACATTAATTCTTTCCTCTATAAATGTGGAAGACCAGGGCTCCTCCCTCTGGCTATTTACAGAGATTAAATGTATCAGGGCATATAAAGTGACTGGTGCAGTGCCAAATAAATGTGAGCCCCGTGCCCTCCCCTATGCTAATGGTCCTGACCCAAGATCAATTCAGATTAACCCTGACCTTTGACCCTATTTGTGCCTTGCAGATTGGTGCATCCCTGATGTCCAGCAATGTGGGTAGTGGCTTGTTCATCGGCCTGGCTGGCACAGGGGCTGCTGGGGGCCTTGCTGTGGGCGGCTTCGAGTGGAATGTAAGGAAGCTGATGTGGCTGCTAACACACCCTCTTGCTAATCTTAGTACCAAGAAAAACCTTAGCGGAGTTTGGGAGGCTGCCCAGTGAATGGAGAGCTCATTTTACAGATGAGGAAACCAAGGACTAGAGGAAGTGGACTGGGATCAGTCCTAGGTCCCTTACTTCCCTGCTCAAGGATTTCCCACAGTACACGCTGCCTCTGGGAAGGAGGCTTCCCTCCAGCTTTGTCTACAAACTCGGTACCTTTTCCTTATTTCCCCAGGCAGTCTTCCTGCTTCTGGCCCTTGGCTGGATCTTTGTCCCTGTGTACATCGCAGCTGGTGTGGTCACCATGCCACAGTACCTGAAGAAGCGATTTGGCGGGCAGAGGATCCAGGTGTACATGTCTGTCCTATCTCTCATCCTCTACATCTTCACCAAGATATCGGTGGGTATCACTCCAAAATGGCCAGCTTATCTCTCTGCAGACGCCGATTAGGGAACTGCTGAATGCATTGCCATGGGCTTGAGGCTCACAGGAAGCTCACATTCATAGTTTGGAAGGAAAGATGGAAGGAAGGGACAAATAAAGGAAGGAGAGAAGGAAGGGAGGGAGAGAGAAAGGAGCAAGGGAGGGAAAACGAAAGAAGAAGAAAAGGGGAAGGAGGGATGGCTGGATAGATAAGAAGGAGAAAAGCAAAGAAGGCTGCATGTTTCAGTGTGTGCTCCCTTCAGCACTGGGATAATCAGAGAAGAATGATAAATGTTTTAAGTGAATGACAGCTCTTTAAAAAAAAAATCACAATCTAGAGTTCCTTCTTTCGATTAACTTTATATTAGTTGGTTCTTCATCAGCAATTGTTGGGTAAGTGCTAGAGTTAGAAAGAGCTTCCGAAGCCTTCTCTCTGCAGACCGACATCTTCTCTGGAGCCCTCTTCATCCAGGTGGCTTTGGGCTGGAACCTCTACCTCTCCACAGTGATCCTGCTGGTGGTGACAGCCGTCTACACCATCACAGGTAGGGCTGAGGCTGAGCACCAGAGCGAGGTGGAGAGGGAGGCTTCTGATGGGCAGAGACAGAGAACGAGACTGAAGCGTAGAGACAACCAGAGATAGGAGCCGAGAAGACTGGTCCTGAGAGAGAGAGAGACAGGAGAAAGACAGAGAGACAAAGTCAAAGAGGGCCAGGATAATTATGCAGGATAACAGAAAAACACAGAGGAACAAACTGTGGGACACAGTGGGGAAGGAAAGGGAAATGAAATGAAGAAGCCATACCAGACAGAGCCTCTCAGTGTCTGCATCAGGGAGAGATTAGGAAGCTGCTGTCTGCACCAGAGTCGTGGTGAGCTGTCCCAGCAAATGCCACAGACGCACTCCTGTGTCCTCCAAAATATCTCACACAGGGCTTGGCACCTTGGGTCACCAGCACAGGACAGTCTTACGTGTGACTTCTTTGGCCTTAAAAGATGGGGTTCTTCAGATGGGCACTGATTGGGAGGGAAAGGAGAGAGCATTCCTAGTGGAGCTAACAGCACAAGTGAAGGACAGGACTTGGGTCATTGACGATACCAACCAAAAGCATGGCATGATGGCCATGGTAAGATGGTGTCAGAGACAGAAAGACAGAAAGATCCAATTGAATGCACTAAAGTGTGACCAGGCTCTGTCCTCCTGGGCTGGGTGGAGGGAAACACAGGTGACCCGAGCCCAGTGCTAAGAGGCCTCTCTCTGGGTCTTCTCTGGTCTCCTCAGTGTGGCCAGACACAGGCGGGTGCCCAGAGCAGAGCCCCTTTTGGTGCTGATTGATGTGCCCTCTCCTTGTGTCCCCAGGAGGCCTCATGGCTGTGATCTATACAGATGCTCTGCAGACGGTGATCATGGTAGGGGGAGCCCTGGTCCTCATGTTTCTAGGTAAGGAAGAGGCCTAAAGGCACTCATTCTCACCCCTAAGTTATTCCCCTGATCTGTTTTTGACACCTCCATGGCCTCCCTGGATCTTTCCTGATTACAGAGTCGCGCCCTGTCTCCAAGTCAGGCTCCCAAAAGGCAGAATTCTCTCTATTCCAAACCAAGGGCCTTGAGCCCAAGCCCCTTCTCTTTCCTGTTCCCAACCCTCAAGTGGGTTCCGACCTAGAGCCTCATGTGGGGCTGGGAGCGTAGGCCAGGCGGGTCTCAGGGATGTTCTCTCACTGCTCTCTTCTCACAGGCTTTCAGGAGGTGGGCTGGTACCCTGGCCTGCAGCAACTGTACAGGCAGGCGCTCCCTAATGCCACAGTCCCCAACACCACTTGTCACCTCCCACGGCCAGATGCCTTCCACATGCTTCGGGACCCTGTGAGTGGGGACATCCCTTGGCCAGGGCTCATTTTCGGACTCACAGTACTGGCCACCTGGTGTTGGTGCACAGACCAGGTAAGGTGCCCACCACCAATAGAGGCCGAGTCAGAGACCAGGGTCAGGGCTCACCTGTGGCTGAGCTGAGGCCCACCAAGCCCGATCAGCAAACCTCCATTGTTGCTGCCTTTCTAGGTCATCGTGCAGAGGTCGCTGTCTGCCAAGAATCTGTCCCATGCCAAGGGAGGCTCAGTGCTGGGGGGCTACCTGAAGATCCTCCCCATGTTCTTCATCGTCATGCCTGGCATGATCAGCAGGGCCCTGTACCCAGGTAAGAGTGAGCCCTCTCACTGGGCCTTGGGACTCAGAACCTGTTCCTGGGCGAGGTGGACCAGAGAATGGTGGAGAGCTTTCTCTATTAAGATCTCATTGTAAGCACTTTAGAACTTGAAGGCCAATTACATAAGCATTTCAGCACAATAGATTTTTATCTCAATGTTATTTTTAAATTCTGCTTCCTCCTTAAAAAACAGAAAAGCAAGGAGTTCTTGCCCCCTTCCAAGAATATTTGCCTTTATCAAGATATAGGACATAAAACCTAGAGGAAGCTATCCCTCATTGAATAGTATGCATCATGGACAAGAAATTCACCCAAACTCAACACTACTGACCTTCTAGACAAGGGCAGAGTCTCTGGTGAACCTTTTCCTATAGTACCAGAAAGCATATACTGGGCCACCCTGGGGAGGCACAGGATCACAGAGCTCCACCTGCCATCCCTTCGCCTGCAGACGAGGTGGGCTGCGTGGATCCTGAGGTCTGCCAAAGAGTCTGCGGGGCCCGAGTGGGATGTTCCAACATCGCCTATCCCAAGCTGGTCATGGCTCTCATGCCCATTGGTGAGTCCCATCTTGCCCACTCACCCCCCACTCCCACCTGCCAGCCCCCCAGACCACACTGATGAGGAGCGATTGTACCATGAGTGCGTAGGAAGAGGGAAGATAACGACTCATTTCTTACCCCTGCCCAATACGTGCACGTGCACACTCAGCCACACTCCCCCACCATTTGCAAAGTGCCTGCCCTGAGCCTGGTGTTGGAGATGCGTAGATGAAAAGCAGGTCCCAGCTCTCAGACTTTGTGCAGTCTCCAGGTGCCTGGGCTCAGCAAGAGTACAGTACAACGCGACCTGGTGGTAGTGGGGCAGCAGAGGAAGGAAACAGCAGAGTCCCAAATACCACTTTAGGCAGAGCTGGTGGGGCATAGAAAATGTTGGAAGGAGGAGAAATTGTGTGTTTAGACACCCAGAGACAGAGCTAAGTGAAAGGAGCTCCGTGTGAACCCAGTCGCAAGGAGCGATGGAGATGACCTTCCCGAGGGGTTGCCATGGCCCAGCCTCGCTCTGGAATGGAGCCTTTCCTCCAGGAGCAATGGAGGGCACTGAGGGAGGGAGGCAGAGCGAGGATGATAGGTGTGAGCTTCAGAAGAACCACTCTGCCTGGAGACTCAGCAAGGGGAAAGCTGTCTCTCACACCTCCTCTCCCCAGGTCTGCGGGGCCTGATGATTGCTGTGATCATGGCGGCCCTCATGAGCTCACTCACCTCCATCTTCAACAGCAGCAGCACCCTGTTCGCTATGGACTTGTGGCAGCGCTTCCGCAGGAGAGCCACAGAGCAGGAGCTGATGGTGGTGGGCAGGTGTGTGCCAGCCCTTCCACGTTCTCCAAGCACCCCTCTCTTCTCATCCCTTCCTGCCCTAGGCTTGCCCTGAGGAGACAGCTAGGGCTGGGCCTGGGCCAACCCTCAGAGTCCTGGGTGCCAGGACAGACCTTCTGAGCGACCTCCGTCAGGTCCCTCCACCTCTGGACCACTCTGGGGAGAAGAATCTCTTCCCCGCCCTTGGACTTTCCCTTGGGATCAACCGGGGGGGGGTAATTGCAAGATTACAGAGCACTGGAGAAATGAGAGGTGAGGCACGTGAGTGGGAGAAAAGGCAGCAGGCAGCTCACCACGAGGCCCCTTGGGTCAGCTCTGCCTGCTGCCCCAGGATGACAGCAGTGTTTAATCCAATCCACCAGATTCACCCCAAATACCCACAGTGGGCCCCGCCCTTGTGCTGGGAACCAGGAGAACAAGGGAGGTTCACCGACTGGTGAGAAGGGCAGAAGCAAGCACATTCCACTGCCTTAGCATGGCACCTGCCTCTGGGGACTGGTCACAGAAAAGTTGTCTCCAAATGATGCATAGCCCTGAACACCGTGCTGTAGAACTTGAACTGCGTCTTGTAGGTGTCAGTTATGCTTTTAGAATCATAGCTGGGCAGTTGGTTAATTTATCTTGTTCTCCACAGACTAGGGATTTACAGTTGGGCTAAGAGGGCCTTTCTGAAATTGCTGCTTCATAGCCAAGTCTCCCTAACTCAGGCCTCTATCCTAAAGGGCCTACAAACCCGCTCTGGCAGGTAGCAACATGAGTTTAGCTACCTTGCTCTTGAAGTCTCCCTACCTCTGCACTGGAAGTTCCTACCATCTGGGTACGTCCGGCTGCCTGTTCATCTCTGCAGCCTGGCCCGAGGCACAGGTGTTGGGGGAAAGTGAGGCAGCTCGGCATTACAGTCAACTGTTACAGCGATAGGTGTTGGAAGACTCGAGAATCCGAAAGCCACTTGAAGAGGCGAAGAAACACTGAAATTTATTAAACTAGCTGGCTCAGAGGAGTCTAAGCGCCCTCGATTCCGAGCCCCAGCCTGCATTTTGAGTGAGTTTATGTACAGTTGAGGAAAGGAAGTTGAGAGGAACCTTTTAGGAATGAGAGGTAGCCAGAAGCAGGAACCTCTTGGGGCAGAGTTGACAGAACATTCTTGAAACCTTAGGTAGAAAAGTTGTGCAGACAGAACACTGGTACATTGGGCAGGCATATGAACAGCACAGACGGTTACATTTCTTGAAAGAGTATTTTATGGCAAAAACGGGGAGGGGAGGACAAAGGCCTGCCCTGGTGTGCATTATGGCTACCTCACAGGAGGTGAGCTCCCAGGATCTGAGAGCAGGACAAGAAAAAGGAGAGGACGACAGTGAGGCGGCGTGGGTAACTGCTGCTCCACTGCAACCTGAGAGAGGGAAAAGGAGAGAAAAGGGATGAGGACAAGAGTGCAGAGACCTTCCAAAGGTTTGTGGCCGCTTAACTTCATCAATCAATGGCATTCTGGCCCCATCTCCTGGACATATGAATTATTGCACCCAGCAAATCCAAGGAAAGATTGTATCAATCTGCTCATCTACAAAATCACAAGCGTGCTTCGATGACTTAAACCTGACTGAGGATCAGTTTAAGTGGAGTCAGGAGAGGAAGGTGGCACCTTAAGCTTGGTTCCAGTGAAAGGGAAGAAAGGTTCAAGCTGAAGGAGTCTGGAGAAGGAAGAAGTCCCTGGGGTGTGTCCTGCACACAGCCTGGAGGCAGAGCAGAAAATTCGTCCAGGTGGAGGCTAGAGGCCTTTTCTTAGGTTCGGTGGGGGTCAGGTATGGATTATTTTTTCAGCTGTGGGTGGGTGGACAACATGATCTCTAAGGACTCCAATATGCAAATGCCAAGTTTTTAGAATTCTGAATTTCTCAGATTCTGAAATTCTGATTTCTGGCATGCTGACAGTCTAAATTCCTGCATCTTTGTATTTAAAACTATGATGTTCTAACCTATGATCCAGAGAACGTGCAAGCCCTCTTCTCTCTTCCTGGCTCCTGTGCTCCTTCAGGACACCGCTGCCACGCCCACCCGCATGCACCCCACAGCACCCTGTGTTCTCCCACAGGGTGTTTGTGGTGCTCCTGGTTGTCATCAGCATCCTCTGGATCCCCATCATCCAGAGCTCCAACAGTGGGCAGCTCTTTGACTACATCCAGTCTGTCACCAGCTACCTGGCCCCGCCCATCACCGCCCTCTTCCTGCTGGCCATCTTCTGCAAGAGGATCACAGAGCCCGTGAGTGAAGCCATCCTGTCCCTCCCACAGCAGAGGGAGAGAGAGGAAGGCTCTGCTCTGCCAATCACCTTGTCTCTGGGACTCTGGGACCAATCCACAGCCTGCTGTAGGATGCCATCCTCCTGACCATAGCCATAGCGTCAGGTCGAGATTCCTTCATGCACACAGAAAATACTTAACAATTGGATTATGGCAGCTCTAGAGATATGCTGGTTTACAACGTTCACATTCGCATAGTTCTGCCATGTTGGGGCCTCAGAAAGGAGAGATGACCAAGTAAGCAATAATGACAAAGTACAAGGGCTACCGGGGGACTGAGGAGCACAAACTCTAACTTAGCGGTTTCCCAAGATGAGGTCAGGGACACCTTCCTGGAGGAAGGGGCATCCGAGCAGAGACCCAAAGGATCAGTGGGAGGAGGGTGCGTGCTGCAGACAGGAGGAGCATTCATGGGAAAGGGCAAAGCAGACGGAAGGTCTCTAACACTGCAGAGTTGTATACGTGAGCCAAATAACGTCCATGACAATGTGTGAACTCACAAGGGGTTCCCACACGCTTGTGATTTGTGTAACTGCACTGAATCTGACTGGGAGGAAGCTAGAGGACCAGAGACTTGCTAACCTCAGAGTAAAGAAGACAGGCCCAAGTCTGCTGGCTGCACCTGGGGACATCAACGTGCACTGTGAATCGATTTGAGAGTCCAAGGTCTTCACAAAGGAGATCTTAGAGACCCCACCCTGGATAGCCTGAGACTGAGGTGCCTGCGCTTGCAGAATCTGATCTTGCTGACAGAGGGACCCAGTTGCTCCTGGGTGCTTCTGCTCATTTTAGAGCCCTAAAGTCAGAATCAACTCCTCATTTTCAAAATACAGGTCATCTTATACACACTGGGAACACGTACAGTTTAGATACAAATGGAACTTAACAAATCCGGGGTACCAGAGATTTTTGTTTTTAAAAAGGGAATCTCTATTCTGATTTCTGATTTATCATAAAAGAGAGCTATGAAGGGGATTCTGGTGTTCTTATTGCAAAATACCCCATTTTATTTGAATATGGAACATCTGTTACTTAGTACTTATCCATTTATCTTTTTGTTGCACATAAGAAAATTCTGACCCAGCAATGCCAAACCATTGGCTCAGAGTCATTTGGGATGGAACCAGATTCAGATCCCAGGCCATCTCCGAAGCCGATAGCCTTTTCAGTGCCCTGCTTTGTCAGCCTTTTAAGTCAAGACAGAGACACAGCATAAACAGGAAACTGACCAAGAGGGACTTGCCCAACACCATAGTAACTGGCAGCAGAGAGCTTTTAGCTTCCTGGTGTCCACTCCCCCTGACTTCACTCCTTCCCGTGTCTCCCTCTCTCCATAGGGAGCCTTCTGGGGCCTCATGTTTGGCCTGGGAGTGGGCCTTGTGCGCATGATCCTGGAGTTCTTGTACTCGGCCCCAGCCTGTGGAGAGGTGGACCGGAGGCCAGCCGTGCTGAAGGACTTCCACTACCTGTACTTTGCCCTCCTTCTCTGTGGGCTCACCGCCATCATCATTGTCACCATCAGCCTCTTTACTACACCCATCCCTGAGGAAAAGGCAAGTGATGCTCTCAGACTGAGCCCCGACCTGCCCAGCATGCTCAGGGCCTGCAATTCCGTCACTGGCTTTTACCCCAGTGTGTGGTGTTTTCTCCTGCTCCCATGTAGAGATCCTTGAGAGCAGGAGCTCTTTGGGATAGGAATTTCCAAGTGAAAGGAAACTCATGCAATCCAGAAATTACTCAGGGAGACCCACTGTGTGCCAGCCACTGTGCTAGGCTTACAAAGATGATGATCTCTGCTAGCAGCTGCCCACGGGGGAATAGAAGGTAACAACAAATGTTACTACACCAAGGGAAGGTGCAGGGTGCCCAGGCTCAAGGGGAGGGGCTAAACCTAGAAGGGAGGTGGTCTTTACCTGAGGTCCTTAGGAGGGAAAAGTAGAGATTTTTTTTAATAGTCAGGAAGCAAGTACGTGAGGCAGGAAACAGCAGTGTGCTAGGTTAACCTTGCCTCTCATGTGCCAACTGATGTGCCCATCTTTGAGCACTGATATCCAGTCTTTTGGAGTTTTTTATCGTCATTACACTTATTGGTACATTTTAGGTACACAACACAGTCACGTTCATCACTGGGATCCTGCACCCCGACACGACCCACCCGGTCCTTATCATTCCCCATTCCCCTGACCTCTCCCTAGCCCCTTAACCCCTCCCCATCCACAAAGACATTGTTTCCCGTGCTTTCCCCCCTCACCTATCCTTTCCCCTCCCTCTCCACCTTTCCACTACCCCTCCCACTTCCCCCAAACCTCCAGACCCCCCCTCCCACCACACGACATCAACCACACACCCTGGTCCTCATCCACACCTCCAGTTCCCCACACCAGAGAAACCACTAGTCACCCACACATGTGTGATTTACCAACTTTACTTAAGAGTTCAGCCTCAGTGTGCATCCACCCAGCCACAAATATCTCTAGTCTATCATTCTTCGTGGCTGAGTAGTACTCCATTTCACCACAAAATGACATCTTCTTTATCCAGTCTCCAGTTGATGTGCAACTGAAACAAGTTTCAGTTATTACAAACTGTGCTGCTATAAACATGGGTGTGCATATATCATTGTGGTATGATTCTTTTAATTCTTTTGGGAAGATACCAAGTCTAGGGATAGCTGAGTCAAATGGGACTTCTAGTCCTAGTTGTCTGAGGTATCTCCATATTGATTTCCACAATAGTTGCACCATTCTGATTCTTTTGGGGATACCAAGTCTAGGGATAGCTGAGTCAAATGGGACTTCTAGTCCTAGTTGTCTGAGGTATCTCCATATTGATTTCCACAATAGTTGCACCATTCTGCACTCCCACCAACAATGGAGAAGGGTTCCTTTCTCCCTACAACCCTGCCAGCATTTGTCATTGGTCGATTTATTAGCAGCCATTCTTACTACTGGGGTGAGATGGAATCCCAGAGTTGTCCTCATCTGAATCTCCCATATGACAAGTGATGTTGAACATTTTTTTCATATTTTTATTTGCTGCTTTTACTTCTTTGTTTGAGAAATGTCTGTTCATTTCAGATGCCCATTTTTGAATTGGGTCTTTATATTTGGGGGGGTCTGATTTTTTTTTGAGTTTTTTGCGTATTCTAGATAGTAGACCTTTGTCTGAGGAACAGCTGGTAAAATTTTTTTTCCAACATTGTGGGTCATCTCTTAGCTCTGCTTGTGATTACTGTGGCAGTGCAGAAGCTTTTTAAAAAGATGAGATCCCAAGTGTTCATTCTCTATGCCAGTTCCTGTGCCACTAAGGATGTGTTCATAAAATCCTTTCCTATGCCAATATCTTCAAAAGTTCTACCTAACCTATCCTCCAGCAAGTTTAGTGTTTCTGTTCCAATACCCATATCCTCAATCCAATTGGATTTTAGTTTAGAATATTGTGAAAGATAAGGGTCTAGTTTTAATCTTTGACAAGTTGAAATCCAGTTTTCCAACACCATTAATTACAGAGGCTATATTTCCTCCAGTGAGGGTGTTTGGCTCCTTTGTCAAAGATGAGGTTTTTTTAGATGCTATTGTGAAAAGAATTATTTCCCTAATTTTGCTCTCAGTGAGTCTGTTATTTGTGTACAAGAAGCCTATTGATTTTTGAGTCTTGACCCTGTATCCAGCTACTTTACCAAATCTGTCAATTAAGTCTAAAAGTATTTTGGCAAAGTTTTTGGCAAAGTTCTATGTAGAGTATCATATCATCAGCAAATAGTGACAGTTTAACTTCTTCCTTTCCTATCTTTATTGTTTTATTTCTTTCTCATGTCTAATTGCTGTGGCTAATGTTTCCAAAACTATATTGAATAGGAGTGGTGATAGTGGACATCCTTGTCTTGTTCCTGATTTTAGCATTAAGGTTTACAGTTTTTGACCATTTAGTATGATGTTGGTTGTTGGCTTTTCATAGATAGTCTTTATCAAGTTGAGATAAAGACCATCTATTCCAATTTTCTTTGGGTTTTTTAAAATCATCAATGGTATTGAATTTTGTCAAATGGTTTTTCAGCATCTATTGAGATGATCGTATGGTTTTTGTCCTTGACTCTGTTAATACAGTGAATTACATTTATTGATTTACATAATCAAAGAACCATCTTTGCATCGCTAGGATAAATCCAACTTGGTTAAGGTGTATAATCTTCTTGATGACTCTGTATTCTGTTGCCAGTATCTTATTGAGGATTTTTGCATCTATGTTCATTATGGAGATTGACCTGTAGTTCTCTTTTTTGGCTTGTTCTTTCCCTGGTTTTGGAATCAAAGTAATATTTGCTTCCATAAATGAATTTGGAAGTATTGCTTCTGTTTCAATTTCATTGAAAATTTTAAAGAGTAGTGGCAATAGCTCTCTAAATGTCTTGTAAAATTCAGCAGTGACGCCATCAGGACCTGGGCTTTTCTTTTTTGGTAAATTTTTAATTACATTTTCAATTTCACTGATTATAATCAGGGTGTTAAGGATTTTTATATCTTCTTTCTTCAACTTTGGTGATTCATATGAATCTAGAAATCTGTCCATTTCTTCTGTATTCTCCCATTTTATTAAAGTACAGTTTCTCGAAGTAAGTATTTATGCTCCACTGGATTTCTGCTGGATCTGTTGTGACTTCACCATTTTCATTTCTAATTGCATGAATATGAGCCTTTCTTTACTTTTGGATAAGGTTGGCTAAAGGTTTATCTATTTTATTATTCTTTTGAACAACCAACTCTTCAATTTGTTGATTTTTTGTATTGTTCTCTTAGTCTCCATTGCATTAAATTCTGCTCTGATCTTTATAATTTCCTCCCTTGTATGAGCTTTGGTTTTCTCTTGCTCTTCTTTTTGTAGTAGCTTAAGATTCAACATTAAGTATTTTATTTGAGCTTGCTCTGTTTTCCTAGTGTAGGCATTCACAGCTATGAATTTCCCACTTAAAACTGCTTTCATTGTATCCCATAGATTTCTGTACATTGTGCTGGCATTGTCATTAAATTGTAAAAACTGTCTAATTTTTTCTTTAATTTCTGCTGTGACCCATTCAGGAGAGTGTTATTCAATTTCCATGTATTGTTTCTTATGCTATTGATCTCCAGTTTAATTGCACTATGGTCTGATAATATACATGGATAACTTCAGTTCCTTTACATTTACTTAAACATGTTCTTTGAGCTAGCCTGTGGTCTATTTTGGAGAATGACCCATGTACAGCTGAAATAATTGAGTTTTATATAGCAAATCATTACCAGAGAAGGTGACCAGCAGATCAAGAACAAAGAGCTGACTGTGGCCCTTTGACACTCTGGGCTGATACAGGTTAAAAGGAATCTGCTTGGCATAGAGTTCTACAGCCACCAAGTCCTGCATAGTAGATATCCCAGAATTTACTCTCCCTTCTCTTTGTCTAAAGTCTGCAGTGTCTCTACAGCCTGTAAGGAGTCTGGGGTTTTCTAAGTGTCAACTCTCCTGCCTGACCTGCAAAGCCTGTCATGATCTGGTGCCTGCCTCCCTGTCCAGCCTTGTTTCTCTCAGTCTAAGAGCTTCATGAGGGCAGGGCCTGGATTTATAGCTCAGCCAGTGGAGAGCAGGCATTCAGTGAGGGCTCATATTTGAAGAAAGGGGCATCCAGGGCTAAGACATGGCTTCTGATCTCCAGAACTGGCCTTGTTTTTTTGTAACCTTTTTTATGGCTTTGAAGCCTCTCATGTATGGGACCTTTTGGGACAGCAGAACTTTCTCCAAATGCACTGGTTCCAGATAGTCTTTCCTCTCCCTCTAGCTTACTCGCCTGACCTGGTGGACACGGAACTGCCCCACCTTTGAGCTGGAGAAGGAGGCCTGGGAGAGCCAGAGTGAGAGGGAGAGTGTTCCAGGGAGGTCAGAGAGGCCGTCAGAGAGCTCCTCAGGAGGACTTACCCTGGGGAATGGCAGCCACGGTCTGGAGCAGCCTGGAGGTAGGCTGAGGGGCTGCTGGGGCAGGGGGTGGTGGTGAGCATGTGCCACAGAGCAGCAATAGGCGCGGACATCATGTCCTGGGTCTCCTCAGGCCCCACTTGGGGGTCCATGGAGATGGGAGTCTCAGAGAGCCCCAAAAATATCACCCTTCCTCCTTTCCCACATGACTATTGAAATGCTTACAAACTAGCCAGGGATGTAGCTCAGTGGCATTTGTGCCTGCCTGGCAAGCTCAAGGTGCTGAATTTGATCCCCATACCAAAAAAAAAAAAAAAATGTTTATAAACTAAGACAGAGGAGTATAAAAGCCAACATACTGCCTTCATTACAGATAAAATGTAAGTAGGGAGATTTGTTTGTTTTAAGTCAACTAACACTGGACAGAGGTGGCCATCCGGTCACTGGCAGACCTGATCAAGGGTGCAGCCGACCTCCCATGAGGAAGGGAGGGGCTGAGATAAGCGGTGCCCCTGATGGGTTTGTTTCACGTGGAAGAAAACATCAGCATGGCAAAGAAACACCCCATCACCAGCACCTCGTACTTATTTGTTTCTTTCCCATTGGGCTGAACACTCCTGCCTGTCGTCACGCAGAAGCATGGCTGTCCCTTGTGGGAGGAGAGTAGCCAGGTGTCCGCCTAGCATGCCCGCCCTCATGGGGCTGCCCCAGGACAAGCTCCACTTCTCTGTGTGCCTACTCGGAATGCTGATGCCCATATAAACGGTGTCTCCCAGAGGGTCTGAAATACGCAAGAATAGCACATTAACTAAATTACTATACTATAAGATGCGATGCACTTTATTTTGGACATAATGAAGCCATGACCTTCCTGTAAGGAGATCAAATAATATTAAAACGTTCTAAAGATAGAGCAGCATCATAGAGACTTTTCATTTATAATATTCCCAAGAAAGAATTTAAAATCCAAAAAGTTATATAGTTTTCAGATTAAAGTCCAAAAATCAATTTATCTTGTCCTTATGAATTAGAAATTTTTAAGCCCTAAATTTATTTCCTGCTTCAATTGGAGGTGGTCTCAGTGGCTGGGTGGGGTTGGGGTTCTGTTGGCAGCTGCTTTCTCCCATTAGCCTAGGTAAAAGTCTGAGCTCTATCCCAGGGTCTGGAAGGCACAACTTTCCGTAATTATTGTGGGTTAGGAGAGTGGATGGAATTGTCAAAGCATCACTGCTGGACCTGCGTGGTTGGCAGCACTGCCACTCTGTTCTCACGCTTTTGCTAGTTTCTGGGCTCTGTGCTGTCCCCAAGGCCTGAGGGGCTCCTACCTTTCTTGGGGTCCCTCACTCTAGAGAAACAGCCACATGCCTGGAGTTAATGAAGTCTGAAGCTCCAAATATTTCACAGGGTCTCAGCTCAAAGTTTCTTGCCCAAGGTGCCATAGTTAAGAGGTAATGGTACACTATGAAAAGCCATATACAGCAAATGTGACATCTTATAAATCTTCATGATCAAAACACACTTGTATTCACTTCCAAAAGCACCACCAGTGATCAGCTCACCTTGTCCAGTCTTATCAGGGCACCAAAATAGTTCAGGCATATTTTTCTTGGCAAAAAAAAAAAAAAAAAAAAAAAAAAAAACACTTTGTCTCTTTGACAAGCTTTGTGGTTCATGCATCAGATGTGAGGAGTCTCAAAACCACCTTTCCCCATTACTGCAAGGCCCTGGTGCTGGCCCCATCTAAAGCTGGTGGTATGGGAAGACCAGACTGTGAGCCTAAGCTCTGCATAGTTAAAGCAGCCAACAGGAGAGGGAGGAAAGAGCTTTAACCTATCTTCCAAAGGAAAAGAGAAGGAAACAGTTTGTACTGCCCATCTTTGAAGCCAGAGCTAGACAGAATTACGGAGACATGCAGGACAAGTGTACTCCCTGGCTGGCCCCACTCTAGGGCACAGCCATCCTTCGAGGAGCAGCGGGATGGCTGTGCTCTGAGGGTGGTTGCTCCCAAGGAAGAAGGAGGCACTGAGTCAGTGACAAAACCCAAAGAGAGAAATCCACACACCCTTGTACTCCCTTCTATCAAAAGACCTGCAAGGAGAAGAGAAAAGGGGCAGGGAAGGCTGCCTGCAGGGTGGAAAGGCTCTTCCCATCACCAAATAGTATTCAGGAACTGGGATGAAGCCTCCCGCCACCAGGAAGAGGCCTGCAGGGGGATGTAGGCCATGAAGTCTAATTTTGAGTCTTCAAAAAAATTAAGAACTGAAAGAAGTACATACATCCCGGTCTTAGACTCAGGTGTTTTGAGCTGTTGCTCCCACTTCACACTCACTGGGGGCCATGGGCTCATCGGACAGATGCCCACTTCGGAGTGCCGCCATGAGAGTCTAGAGAGGAAGTTTAGGCCAGCGTTTATATAAAATGACAAATCCCAACACAGAAGTCACATAATACAGCTCAGAGGGCAGCTCTGCAGCCAGTTGACCTAGAGCAGCTCTCCCCTCTTTTGTGAGCCCTTCTTGTCCTCTGCAGTGAGGAAGTTCAGGCGGATGGCACCCAGGCTGCATCTGTGACATTCTGAGGTTGCACTGAGCTCACCAAGTGCCATGTTCCGAAGCTATTCATACAGAGCACCTGGGCATTCCTTTCTATCTCCGTGGAAGATGCTTTGTATAATTTTATTCTTAATACACTGTCTCACTTTAAAAATCTTTAAAAAGATTTATTTTCTTTATTACTTCTTTTAAACTAAGTTTTAGGAAAAGCACCGCCTTTAGCCTCATTGCGGGTGCTCTGTACACTGGGGAGCCTTTCAGCCTCATGTGCCTTCCTGACATTACAATCACCTCTCCTTTTGCACCAGCACTGGTGACTGTTAAAGTGCTATCAAATCTCCATTCTCATTTGATGCTCAGGAGAAGAGCACAGCACATGTCACTGAAGCATTTGAGGGAGAAAAAGACCTGTCGCTCAGAGGACTGGTGAGGTTTGCTGATGGCCTCACAGTCAGCCAAGGGCAGAGCTGGCCCCAGAGCCAAGTTCCTGGTCTCGGGGCGCAGCGCCCAGCCCCACTGCAGGAGAACGGTCTGTCTGGTGCAGAGGTGCCGCTCCTTCCCTCCATCCTCACTCTGGACTTAGGCGCTGAACTGAGATGGTTACAATACCCCCTCTCCTCAACACCCCACCTACCCTGCGCAACAAGGAGGTGCTCTTGTGTGAGGACCATACAGATGCTTTGGCCTAGGCCAGAGCTCAGCTGGGCCTGTGGTTTGTGCAGAGGGTCCCCCCACCCCCCCTCACTTTCTTCACATTCTCACCTTCTCCTTCCTGGTTCTCTCACCCACCCCCTCCCTCTCCCTACCCTTTCCTTGCCTCCTCTCTCCTGCTCCTCTTCCACTTCTGGCTCTGTAGCCCCAGCCCCATGCAGGTCCTGGGGAAAGCTGCTCTGGGGATGGCTCTGTGGGCTCTCGGGAGCCCCAGGACAGGTCCTGAGCCCAGAGGAGAAGGCTGTGCTGGAGCAGAAGCTGAGCAGCATTGAGGAGGAACCGCTCTGGAGAAGCATCTGCAACATCAACGCCATCCTCTTGCTGGGTATCAACATCTTCCTGTGGGGCTATTTTGCATGACTCCACAGGCTGGGCTTCAGCTGAGACAAACTAAACACAGCCCAAGCCTGGCCAGGTGCGGAGACAGGCTCTCTCTTCCTACCCTGCTCTAAACTGGAGACCGCAGAGGCTGAGCATGGACGAGGCCCTAAGGAGCATCTGATGCAACACAGTCCGCGAGTGCAGAATGCAAGGCCCAGAGAGAGTGCTGGGTTTGCCCGAGGCCACAGAGAGGCACTTGCTGTGGCACCCCCAACTCCGGCTCCCATTCCATTACACTGCCTTTCTCCGTTCCAGCCAAAGAGAGGCTGTTCTAGCGGGAGATAAGAAGAGAGGCTTCAGACTAAACTTCAGGAACCAAACTCTAGCTCTGTTATTTGCTAAATGCATGACATTGGGAAAGGGGCATCTCAGCCCTAGTTTTCTCACCCACAAAATGGAGATGGTAATTGCAGCTGTTTCTTAGGGTTCTTATAAGGATCCAATGAGTTAATTCAAATAAAGTCTTCCAAACAATGCCTGGCACATTACTTCAATAGACACTAGCTACTCTTACTACCAACAGTACAGAGGAGATGAACACACGGAAGACATAACACCACATGGCAATGTCATTTTAGAGCTAGCACAACACATCATCAGAGCGAAGAGCAGGGATAATTATTTCTCCCAGGAGAATCAGGAAAGTGAATAATTGAGCTGGGGTTTGGAGTATAGATGAATTTCCTAGAAAACTCTCATACAAGGCAGAGGGGCAGGACGTGTGAAATTGGTATAAAGTACAAAAGTACATATGGGGTCCCCACAAAATAAGGATGTTGCCTACTCACTTGTAGATATCATCCCTATATATTCAGTTTTCCCTTATAAGTCATATTTTATTGTAGTCTCTTTCCTCTACGGCAGAGCTGTGGGGTTGGCTGACCAGGGACAGGAGGGAATGGGCACTCAAACACTGGAGCAGAAGTAGTCTGTACCCGGCCCACATCCCCTAGGTGTCACCAACTTGTTTGCTGCTACTTCCTATTAAAAGTCTTTGCAGCTCTCCGCAGCTCTCTGAAGTCTTTCTTTGGTTCTGGAAAGATGCTCAGCTTCCTGCATATAACAGGCTAGAAGTTCTGGGAGTTAATGCACCTTGGTGTAGCCCTGAACCAATGGTGAACAAACATTGGCAATAAGCACAGCTGGTTCCTTACCCTCAAATGAGATGCAGACACTTGTTCAAAATCATCTCACAGAGGCTTTCGGTGGGACAGAATTCCAGTCAGCCGCAGCATCAGTACCTTTAACACATCTTGTACACCTCCCTTGAGTTTCCTGTCTTATGCGAAAATCCCCTGCTGGAGTTTCCTTGGATCTTCTCCCAAATAAATTATTAGAAGCTTGTCTCATGTGCTACTACTGGGAAACCAAGATAAGACAGTATTTCAGAAGAAAATCAGGTTTCTTAGATCCTATTCATTTCAGAAATTATCCCTTCTACAAACTTTTCTGCCCCCTCCAAACTCCCAAGTTGGTTTTTGTCCTTGCTCTGAGCCCCACAGGCCTCCACGTTTCTTTTGACCACAGCAACTCACATACTAGTGTTATAATTAGTTGTATCTCTCCTTTGCCATAGACTGGTGCTGTTTGAAGATAGGCATTGTGTTTGTGCAGGGACATCATGGTGTGAGGGCATTTAATACGAGCTTAGAAAATGTCCAAGGAGTGAGTGAACTAAAGAATGTTAAATTTACATAATATTTTTATTCTGGCTATTCCCTAGTTCCTAACTATAACTGAGAGAAATAAAAATGAATAGTTTCTGTACAGACTTTAGAGTTATAAAGCCCTGCCAGGTAGGAGGTCTCAGTAGAATACCAGCAACTACTAGAGGCAGATAGAGGAGTTGGAAAGGCCAGTCATACTCAAATATGAGCTCTCTATAACCTTTTGGGACTCCTGCCCCAACCAACCTCCATTCACTGCCTACAGTAGGGATGAAAATACTAATCTAGTATCTTATAAATACTGAACTAGTATCTTAGTTTAATAATGCCATTACATGCTTTGTGACACTCCCCTACCCTATTCCTCAGGTTTTTTTTCATCCCTGAGAAAGATGAGGAGTGCAAATGCTTGACCCCTCCCATGTTACTACCCCGCGCTTCTGATCTGACTCTGCATTTGTTGTGTTGGGACAGAGCGCAGGCAGGTTCGTTGGTGTTACCAGAGGTGTACGGGGAAATAAGGTCACACACCAGCTTCAGTGGCAAAAGCATAAAAAAAAAAAAAACACTGAAAAGTTGTTTTTGGGAAATTGAAATGGATTTGCCATGAGCAATAATAAAATTAAGATGCTGCTTTAGACTGTGAAAGGATGGTATTTAAAAACAAATAGTGTTCTTAAAAATACCAAGAAGGAACATTTTTAAAAGTGATTTGCAATTGAGCTTGGACCACAGAAGCACTCAATTTAACATGTGAGACTTACATCTCTGCCCCTGGGTGTGAGAGTTCACATCCTTCAGAGGAGTGGGAGCTGCTGGGAACCCAGGCAAGAGCAGGGTCAGTTTACCATTAACCTAGAATGAGTGTCTCTCTAGACTTCAGGCCATAAGTAAGAAAACGGTAATTTTTTCTTTTCTTCAGGGTGAAAGTTGGGAGAACTTTAAAGGTTGTATATAAATACAAATCTTAGAGACTTAAACTGCAGTAGTTACAGTTTACTTTCATATTTCAAAATCAAATCTCAACCTTGGCCCAGATTCAAAAAGTAGAAATGTCAGACTTTTTACTGTGAGCTTATATTAAATCTATAACTTTCACTTAAAGTGGGAAAAAAGCCCCTAACCTTTGTACATTATCTCCTGATAGAATATGAAAGCTTTGGACCATCTCTCTGTATGGACTGTGTGCAAACTTTAGAGGATATATATATA